AGCAGGGGTCAAGCAGGGATGAGGTCGAGCAGATGTGAAGGTATATGAAGGTTCTCCGCTCTACACCTGGTCCAAGCCTAGTCGGCTTGTGATAGGCATATCGTGGGATCTGTGCACGTGTACCCGAGGCTTGGTTATGCGAAGGCTTCGTGTGAATGAGTCTCTAGAAACTAGATTACTAGATCTGGGAGAGTTTTCATTTGCTTGCCTGAGGGAATTCTGCGTGGGAAGGGCTTTCAATGTTCTTTGTGCAGTATTGCTTTATCCTTGCAATACTGTCAAGTACTTTCCGGGCTACCTTTCTGACATTTGCTAAGAAGGTTGAACTTTAGCCAAAGAAGTAACGCAGCTCGGATGGAGCATTTGAGCCAAGACGCAGAAGCTTTAGCTAGGAAGGTCAACAAGCTGGCATTTGCTGAAGCTGGTTTTTTCTTGCCGGTTCATGATCACAGCTGGTTGAAAGCATGTTGTCCTGGAGGGTGGTGAATGAGGCGCGCCTCATTCAGTTTGGATAAATGTGGCACGGACTTTCAAGAAGACAAAGTGGGACACAGCTTCAGGAATCGATCTTCAAACTCCTCATGTGGATGTTTCGCCGAGGCCTTCACACCCTACCGCCGGGGCCTCGCCATGGTTGGGGCATCTGAGGCTTGGGCCTTGGTTGAAGGCAACCGTGAAGACCTACGTTGATGACTATTGCAAAGACGACCTGCGTCCCCAAATCCATGGTTTCAAAGGTTGTACCTGTGTTTGCTTCAATCGCGCAGCACCGCAGTAATGAGCACTGATTGGTGTCATTGAAACAGAAGATTTTGTAGCGAACATATTCACGTTTGACATTTTGTCACTAGATGGTGAACAAATCGCCTTCAAATGGTGAAACACCCAAAACCATCGAACATGATGACAGTGACCCCAGGAGAAATAGCAGGGCATATATGCAGTACATATATAGATAATTATAGATATATAAATATATCCTGTCTATATCTATATACATCTGTTATATATACATATATACATATTGATTACGAGCAAAGGACGCTACGAACGGGGCTCCTGGCCTTCAAACTCTATCCAAAGCTCCCGGGAACGGCCATGATCGACCCCAGGACACGGCCCCAGACGCGACACCTGGAGGTTCATGTCGAATGCATACTGCTATGATTCAATTTGTGCTTTTGAGACATCGAGCTTAATTCAGTTTTTTGTTTCTCTTTCAGGAATTCGGAAAATTGAGCATCTATTTTGCAGCTTTATGTTATGCGTGTGGTTTCGTCCTGCCTTTGCCTGCTGCCGGGCAGGCGATTTGGCCAGCGGGAAGTAGCTTTGGCAGCCACTGGGCGGGCAGCTCAGCCAGCTTGAGGCAAAACATGTGCCTCAAAATGGGGGAACGGCAAGCGACGTGCTTTCTTTTTCTGGGATCGAATAGAGAACCCCGTACCCCCCTGCACACAATGCTCACTTGGCGCCGCATAGGCTTTTCACTGACTGGCCTCGCCCATTGCCTCCTTTGCTAGATCCACACGTGCCTGGGACAAGAGGAGTTCGCTTGTAGGGTTCTGAGCTTGTCTCAGTGTTGCATCCCAAAGGAAGCCAGACGTCCTGCAAGATCCAGGAAAAAAGGAACGGGTTGGTTCGTTCGGCCTGCAAGATCCAGGAGAGAAGGCAGAGGGCAATGAAGTTGACGGTTGGAGAAACTTGTTGCCCACTCCTCGCCAGCAGCTTATCGATGTTGAACCCTGATTAGCCTTTGAAGTGCGATCGTCCAACCAAAGGGCATGTATCACTTTGCAATCAACATGGTGCGACTACAAAGATGACATCATGGACCATGTGATTTGTCCCAATGTCCACTCTTTGTTTGGCTGAGGGTATTTCTCTCACACACACACAGATGTACATCAGATACAATCTTTCTTTTTGTAGGTTGGAGACCATTGCTAGTGGGTTGGATGCAGGATGTGACCATGACATTTGTCCCTCTCATTGAGAGGTGCTGATCATCGCCCGGCGCTTCAAACGCAGTGCCGCGCAGGCATGGGACCTTGAGCAGAACGGAAGAAACAGCAGGATTGGATTTATATATTTTTAAATAAGATTTCATGCAATTTTCAGATTCTGAGATGTCAACAGTTCATTTTCGAAATGATTCAGGGTAGGCATCAACAACCCTGTAAGTTTGCCCCATGTGACAGGGTTGAAGGAGTTGGAGACTGTCTTGCTAAGTCAGGTGAGCCCGTGTTCCAAGGATGGCTAAGGACAACAATTCCATAGTCAGCACACCTGTGAAAAATAGAAAATCGATCTTTCGGTTGTTGAACCAATGGCTGTTTTGTCATGCTCATTTCGGATCCCCTGGGGTGGTAGGTGCTGATCCGCTGGGCTTTGCAGCTGGGCTTAGCAGTGGTCTTCCACAGCCAGAGGAACTTGGAATATGGACTCCTGGGAGTTGATTCTGCCTCTTATGGTCCTTCTCGTTCAAAGACAAGAGGTTGAGTGCGCTCTACAAGGGGGGCTTGTGTTAAGAAAGGAGAGTTCATTTGGCATGTCCCTCATCGAGAAACACTGGAATCTTTGGCAAGATCCGACGCATAGTAAATCTGGACATGCAAAACGATGCACTGTAGTAATGCCAAGAGATATTTGATGCCAGTGTGCTCTGCTAGATCTGTCCAGGAAGCAGCACGTGGCGGAGAACCTGGCGGCCTTGGACTTTGAGCTGCCCATGCGGGAAATGCAGCTGATCAGTGGGTCCAACAGCCCAGAATCTGGACATCTGGAATGACCTGGAGCATGTGGTGATCTTGCAGTGGTTAGAGCTAGACCGGTCCAGAAGGAGGTGGATGCCGTGTCAATTGTTTCTATATGCAGTGGCAGTTAGGGGGGTACTCCCGGTGGTCTAGGCACCAGTACTTTCTTTCATGGATCCAATCTAGGGTTTTGATCCGTGACTACCGCAGAAAGTCTTCAAGATCAAGTTGAACGGGACATATTTGTTCCAAAGTTTGACCTCAAAACCTTGAAGAGGGTCGAGGTTTCGGATTGAAGGTTGCGTTCAAGAAGCTCATTCTTGTGAACATCTGCGTTTTGCTGCAGTTTTGCTCGTTTGGATAGGGGCACCTTGCAGGCTGTGGCTAAGGGTTCGCTTGGTTGATTTCACGGTTCCGTGACTCAAAAGCTTTTCGGGGAACCGTGCACCACGCTTCTGATGCTTCCCGCACGGTCGCAGCTGGCCACGCTGGCCGGCCGCTACAGGCTGGCCACGCTCGCGGAGCCCGTTCCGCCAGGAGACGGCTTTGCAACTGGGTGGAAGGGCCAGGGTAGAGTTGGGTGGAGTGGGCTGGGTGGAAGGGCCCTGCGGTGAGGCGGTTGATTCGTTGACTGCTTTGTTCGGCCCTGATGGCCGGTCGGGCAAAGAGTCTATGTGAAAAGAAAGAACGGGTTCAGTTTGTTCAGGACTGCTCACCCTCACTCCTCCAACCCTTGCACAGATTTGCACAGTATCGGTGCAGCACTGACGCAATCCAAGAGTAAAGAGAGGTTGTCCAAAACCATCAAGTCCAAATTGTCACAGCTTGTATATTTGATGTCGGTGTTCAAATTGCTCAAGTTTCATCACACAAGCAAGGAGTGTATTTATACATGGGATGATCATTCCGCTTTGAGCACTTTCAAACTGGAGAATAGATTCGTGTTTCTGTCCATTCAGGGACCACTACAGGAGATACTTGTACCCTCCGCTATATAGCAGTTTTCCAGGGCGCCATTGGGACGAATTGGAGGGTGCGTGTGACAGTGCATGTGTTTATAGTGGCCAAACCCAGGCGCATCCGTACGAGCAGCTCCGCACCCCAAAAGGGGAACTCTGAGAAAATGATGACTGCAATGCTTGGGGCTGCTTGGCGGCCTGGAAAGGTTACGTATCAGGGTGAAGCATCGGTGGCTGGGTTGCTGTAGAGCAGAAAGGGTGGCAACTAGAAATACCAAAAATGCGAAGTCGTGTTGTGCCTGTAGTTTTCAAGACCAGCAGGGATGTGGTGTAGCAGATCCATTATGTAAGCGGACTCTACACCTCGAGCTAGGAACTTGAGAAATTATGGTCGACCTTCCTAGCAGCACATGACGAACATTTCTAGCCTCTTGGCACCCTACCCAGATTGCTTGAGTGGTCTGGTACTTGCCAAGCACCTTTGTATGCGCGCTGTGCATCATGAAAAGAGCACATTTGCAGAGGACAAGGTGCAAGGACAGGCAACCACATACTGGCCCTGCGATGAGACTTGCTAGTGGACTACTGTGAGTTTTTGAAGCCATTTGCTTCTCAGGGCACAGGAACGCCCTTGTAAAAGGAAGATTACCAGCCAGTGTCCATAGATTCTTAGATGCATTTCCAGTTTCTCGAACATTACAGATGGTTTGAACGAGGTAGACAGTCCTGCAGTAGCGGCAGCCAGCCATACTCAAAATACTCTTCAGACACATTGGCGCAGCAGGGCACCCATGGCTTGATGCAGGATTGTGACCGAATCAGCACAGTCAGCAATCAGTGAAGATATGTGGCCCTCAATTCGTTTTTGCAGCTCCTAAGTGCTAAAGCCGGAATATTGGAAACCATCCAAACTGATCAATGCCAAACTCATCGGATTTCTGGTGCTCTGCGAACGCAGCTTGCTGCTATGTGCGACCTTGCCCAGCCCGAGCGTTGAGTGTGGCCCGACTCCAGAGGTGCAGCCTTGTGCCATTGAGGTTTGATGAGTAGAACAATAGAACAGGGGCTGGAATCGTCTTCGACATGGGGGGACCTTGGGGGGACCTTTGGTAGATCTGGCAACTCATCTCGGACTTGCACGTATCTGGGACTCTCCGACCATTCTACCAAAAGGGTCTTTGTTTCCCCCCCCATTCTTGAAACCACACAGCCGTTTTGGACGTGACCTGTCCACTGGGCAGGCCTTGTGGCCGACACCGCGTGTCCAGGGCACGGTGGGTGTGCCGCAATGAGATCGGATGGCTTTCTGGATGAGCCTTTGACCTCATCCCCGCCGAGAAAAGGCGGGGGGGCAGCAAATGCTCCATTGGTAGTGGGTGCCTTCAGACAAACCGGAGATGCACGAAGGATGGGGACTTGGACGCGAGGTCTTGCCGAAGTGAGAGTTTGGGCCACCTGAAAGGTCGATGGTAATCTACTTTTCAACACAGGATTCACTTTGTCTCCCAGGCGTTGGGACAAGAAAAGCAACCAAAGACTCCTCGACCCAAGTGCTTTTCCAGGCAGAGGCTACAGTATTGATCCATCCTGGTTAACTGCAATTGAAACAGCAGTTTCAGGCAAGATGGGGAACAACGAAAAGCCGCGCGCAGGCCAGGGAGCAGATGCTAAGGATCCGGATGTGTATAGTAGAGACTGTATGTGTTTGTGGCGGATTGGGGATTTGGAGAGAACTGCAAGCAACATGGAGCGAAATGGGAACTTGGAACCAAGCCTTCAATTTGAACAATGAGCAGATTCGCACTTCACTACCACGTCCTTGAATCCTGATTGTGGGTGAGTGAGTGCATGGTTGAGGGTCCTTAGGCAGAAAGGTCCAGCTTTGAGGGTTCAGAGCCCTTTCCCCCGACTTTTCCCAAGCGAAGGACACCACAGTACGAGATTCTCTTGTACATGTTGCTTTTCTTCGATGTACGGACGTTGGTCCAAAACGGTCCGCCCGCGATGCTTTCTCGCCGATGTCGCGCAGCCGGAGCGTCCAAGGTGACTGGAAGTGTCCCAACTGCAACGACCTCCAGTTCGCGCGGAACGCTGCATGCCGCAGGTGGGGCGGGTCGGAGCCGGTCCCAAATGGGTGGGTGCCAAACGTGTCAACAGTCGTCTATCCCAATGTCCACACACCCCAGGCTGGATTGAAATCGGACTCCAGACTGCCAGAGACCAGACTTGCACGTTGTTCAGGTGCAACTGGAATCTCTTCCCGAGCCGTGGGTCTCAACGGACCGTGAACGGTTCGTCGGTCCATCCGCAGCCTGCGCCAGGTGTGGTGCACCAAAGCCAACCATGGAGAGCATGGGGTGAGGGATCACGGGTTTGAGTTTGGCCGTGGGTAGGACTCGAAAGGAACTACAGGCCCCGTCCATGTTGGTGCGACCAGCCAAACATGTTTTCTGACAATCTTCGGATAATTTGCCACAACACCCTCCAGCATTCTGATGAATGGTGGGTTGCTCTGTATTTTCCATTCAGCACTCTGGCCATGCATAGATGAACCTTATTTTGAGACGAGCTGAGATACTGATTTTTGCACGATGAGCTAAGTCCATGAAACAAGCCATGAAGCTGTTCAATTATTCTCACAAGGTTTTGGAGAAGCTTCTGCATGTGTGGGCCTCTCCAAACACGCTTCCGTGATTCCGCAGAATCTGATATGGTGTTCTGCGCTAGGGAAGCCGCCGTCAAGTTCTACCCACGTGGCTATGGAGGTTCAGGTGCAGCATTCATGCGAAGAGCACTGCATAGAGTGATTTATTTGGCACCATTTTGAGAACATAATTATTGCTTCACTTGGCACCATGGATTTGAAGCTCATTGCAAGTTCTGTGGCTTGAGAAGGCACTTTGGGCCGTCCCGTTTGATCCTTTTTTGGCGGACCAATTTAGCTAGCTGAAATGCTGTTTGAAGAAGTCACACGTTGATGGAACAGCTTGTGATTGGCTTGGCTGTTGCCCGCTTCATATTCTTAGGCCTCCATGTTGACACTCACCACTTCAACCAGCGATTCCCCCGCCCAATGGCCCTCTAAGCGATTTGCACCGCACCGGGCGAGCGTCCCTCGATGCCTCGGTGCTTGGTCGTGGACTGCGGGGGTGTGACGCATCCAGACAGTGGGCTTAAGGAGGCGCGGGTGTGCTTTCACGTCCTGGTCGGATTTCTTGGTCGACTTGGAAGGAAAGAGACACCAATGGGCTTTGGTTGATACTTGTTCCATTGTTCCATTGTTCCTGGGAAATCCACTGAATCCACTGGTCGCTGACTCTTCAGGCGGTGCGCCGGTGCGTCGAGGAGCCGCAGCAGGAGAGCGCCGCCAAAGCGGCCAAGGCCCAGTGGAGTGCCATGCGAGAGGATCCCGAGGCCACGAAGGCGGGCCATGGGCGGGCCACGAATGGCTGGCCTACCAAGGTCATCCAACGTCAGGAAGAAGGGACTCAGTAGCTCAGTAGCTGTTAGTGGGTGCATCAGCTTTGTTGCCACAAAGGGTGTGGATCAAGAACCAAAAACCCAAAAGTAGTTCTGTAGGAAACAAGACATAGGCCAACCCTTGTTGTCCTCCACTTTGACTTTGATCCACCCCTGTCAATGCCCAACTTCGACCTGTCAGAGTGCACTGGGTTGATAGACCCTCCAACCACCTGGCTTTCTCCCCAAGGTCGAGGCTTCTCCTAGATTCAATTTCCACTATCCACCCCTAGGGAACCCGTTGTTACTAGTAACTTCTTGCTACTAGTAGGAATGCCAGGAGCTACCAGTAGCTTCTTGGTTCTGGGCTTCAGGAGGCTTTCTGGCGCCTCGCACGTGCTGCCATCAGCGGACTGGACGAGGCGAAGACCGCGGCAGCCGATGCCGAGATCTGCGCGCGGCTGCGAGGCGTTGTTGCCGGTGTCGGCCGGTGTCGGTTTTCACGTCTTACGGAGAGATTGGGGGAGGTTGCTCGGAGACCTTTTTGAAGGCGGAATAGGTTAGGGCGGCGAATGTTGATGTGTCAAGGGCATCTTGGTTTTGAACAGAACATGCTCGCTTGTGCTAGAATAGATGCTTTTTAGACTTAAACTTGGGCCCATACACTGTTTAGGTTTGGGGTTGGTCCATGCGCAGGGCTTGAAAGGTATGAACCATGGACATCCTTGTCGTTGTTGAAAGTACTGTATACTGCTTCAACCCTGAGATAAGCGCAACGCAAGAACTCTTTGGCACAAAGTGCCATGCCATTTTTGGAGTCAATGTGTGTTCTCCTGAGCCATTTGGGCTCCAGAGTTCAGCCAAAGATGTGGGGCTTGATCATAGCCCTTCTGTTTTCCGTCGCTGCGTGCGACTTACAGCAGTGCTTCTCGTCTTCGAAGCAAGGCCCGATTTTCTTGCAACGGGGGGCTACGTATCCGACCAGCGTGCTATGGGTCCTTCGATGGGGTGGTGGAGGAAGAGGGCGGCAGTGTTGGTACGGTGAAGGATGCTACACTGGCTGAGTGCAAGAGAGCTTGCAACCGAGAGGAAGATTGCAGGAGCTTCACTTTTTGTCAGACTTGGGCTCAGTGCTTCTTAAAGAAGCAAAACCTCACAGGCGAGGAGCCTACCACACGGAATGGAGACTGCCAGAGCTTCTTCAAAGCCACCTGTGGAGGGACGGCAAATGCTGGATTCACGTTGAGAGTGGTTTCCTACAACCTCTATTGGTGGAATGCTTTTGGGCGGCCGGAAAACTCCTGGAAGCGAGAAAGTATTCTGGAGAATATCAAGTCCAATCTGAAGCCCGACACCATCGGCCTCCAGGAGCAGGGGCTGAACCCGAGGGCTGAATGTGGTCAAACAGGGCCAAGGCTGAAAGAAGCACCACTTTGGTCTTTGGGGCGTCCTTCGAATGGTCAAGAACTCAAAAGATTTCCCTTTTTGCTTCCCTTGTAGCATGGAAACCATGGAAAAAAACAAATCCGACTTCAGCTCAGAGAGTTCCTTCAAGACCGCATCTGCAACCACCAACCTCCCGTTCCACAGTCCAAAGAACTTCTTGCTGGTTCAAAAACTTCAAACAGTCCTCCTTCAAAAAAAGAACTCTCTGGAACTTCACAGCCTGAAATGAACAGTGGGTGAGGCACTTAGGTCGATAAGGGACATCGGCACAACTTATGAAGCTAAGTTTCCCTAAATATCTAGGAACCACATCATTCGTGCGGGGGGGAGCTTCCTTGAAGAAGTGTGAGCTCTCCTGCGTTCTCCTGCGTCCAAATGTAGTAGCGTCTCAGTAGCGTCTGGAGCAAAGAAGTCTACAAGTTTGCCCCTTACTTAATAGTTAGATTAGTTAAGTTGGAGGCTTTGAACAAAAATAACACGTCTCTCTCTCTCTCTCTGTCGCCAGGAGTGTGACTCCCCGGAGGTCTTGGAGTCTCTGGGCTTACAGCGGGCCTCTCCCTTCGAGGCTGCCCAGGGTGTGATGTCCGGCGCCCGGCTACGCAGCGTGGGGGGCGGCCACGAGGACCTGGAAGCCACGGGGAAGTGGGGCAAACGCTACGTGACCTGGGCGGAGTTCCGAGAAGGCGAGAAGGCACACTTCTGGCACTTCAATACGCATTGGCCGCTTGGAGAGAAATCCAATGAGATTGGGCTGAACATCTCACTGTGAAACGTATTGAACAATGCCTCTCTTGTTCACCAAAAGGGGTGAAGATCTGAATCTTCAACCAACGAAGATCACTTCTGCCAAGGTGTGTTCACAGTGATGAGCAACACACCTGCAACGAGGAGGTCCGTTTCGCTGGCGCCCGGAAAATGGTCGAGACCATCCGCAAGGTGAGCCGTCTGTTATTTGGGGGGGCAGGTCGTTTTGTTCATAGAGAGGGATTGTGCCAGGACCATAGAGTCTGATCGCTTGGCTTTGCCACAACGATGAGTTTGATCCTGACAGGGCCACTTTTTGACAGGGCGTTTTCACGTTTTCACAAACGCCGAGCGATACGACCTCTCCCGGCCCTCAGGTCGCAGGCGACGGCCCAGTCCTGGTGACTGGTGATTTCAATGCGCAGATGGAGGCTTCTGATCATTGCTGATTGTATACTACCACAGCTGGTGTTGGTTTGTTTGATATTCTTGGTCGTTGTTGCTGTGGGTGGTGGTGGTGGCGGTGGTATTTTCACTGCCGTCCTTGCTGGTGGCAGTGTTTTCTTGCACCCTAGCAAAGTCTTAAGCTACTTGGGGCCCTCACAAAGCCTCCAAATGCCATCACAGACTGTCTATGTTTGGAGGAGAGAGGCCCACAACATTTGCTGAACAGCGGCTTGAAGCTGGCGGTGAATGAATGGGTTGCTTGGATCTCTAAGTATCAGAACACTTCATGAAGATCAAGCTTACCTTGGAGGGGATCTCTCTTGGAATGTCATTTCTGTTTCACTGCATGCCTGCTTCGTTTGTTTCAGGTTGACAGCATCTTCTATTCTGATCACTGGGAGCTTCTGGCAAAGGGGGCGAAGGAAGCCTCGGGTAGTGATCACCGACCAATCTATGCCCAGCTGAGGCTGAGGCAGCTAAAACACAAGAACGCGAGTTCTGTAGATGGGATCGTCTCAAAGTAGGACGCCTCCATATCTCACTAGCCTAAGGAAATTCCCACATGGTGAACTCATTTAACAGGGTGCGATCCAAAGAAAGCGAAATCTCAGGCTATGTGATGTTTTGCAGATGCTTAGCTGACAAAAAAAACATGGATTCGGTCCCTACTCTGGTGCTCAAAAGTGCGGAAAGCACCCTGAATCCTAAGCCTTTTGGCCATGTGTGATCTACGGAGACCGACCCGTGGCTTGCACATGGGACTCAGACTCAGCTGGAGTGAGAGACTCGGCTGGTTACAGGTGTTCTGCGCGCTCGGATGGGGGTCTCTCAACGTGGAGTTCCTTCCAAATGTTCAGGGAGAGCTGCAGAGCGCTCGGGCCAAGCGGCGAATCACGCTGTGTGAAGAACCCGGCGGGTCAACAGGACCCGGGGAGGGTGGCTCATCCGATCTGTGGAACCAGTTTGTACAGGCCGAAAAGCGCAGACAAATGCAAAGAAGTCAGGACTGACACCAAAAACATAAGTTTCTCAAGGAGTGGCACAGTTTCCTTCTCCTCCAGGCTACTACCCTGAGACCTTGGAGGTCTTGCGACAAGCCAAAGAGCAAGACGTGGTCCTCGGTATGATCTCCAATCACCTCGCCTTCTGGTTCTATCCAGAGACTTGTCACCTCTATTGGAGGCAAATTGGAAGTTGCTATGCTTGGAAGAAGGCTCCTGGTTTGAAAAGATCTGAACTGAATGGTCTTGCTGGTTGTTTATTCTAGGTCTTATGACCTCCTATTTTCTACTTCATACTGTGCATGAAGTGGTTTTAAAGACAGGGTAAGTTGGGAACGTCTCACGGTCAACGTCGTTTCAGGTTCATCCTTCCATTTGCTCATTGCCATCCATAGTCTCACCATGAGTACCGAAGGGCGGCCTACCAGGCATGCAGAATACTACTTGAATACCACCTGACATGCTTTTTCTCCGCACTACCTACTAGTATTCCACAGAATCATCGAAGGCTCCAGTGTCGTTTTGAGGAGTGTGGGGAGGTGCTGAAGGATTTGGTGGAGCCCGAGCTTCTCTTGGTGAGCTCAGAGGTCCGAGGGGGGGTCTGGTGAGTGATTTTCATCAATTTTTGAGAACTGTCGTTTTTGGTGGAGGGAACTGTGATCAACCTCCTGGCATGGAACTGTGATCAACCTCCTGTGCAAAAGCCCTCTGGAACAATGAGTTTGAGGATTTTTAGGTGAGTATCTCCTTTGTAGAAGATCGTGACCTCGCTTCCTGGCGCTCCCGACCTCGCTTCGGGAGAAAGAGGTCGCTTGCTCCAAGCCTGGACATCGCATCTTCGAGCTGTTCTTGGAACGACTGGGGCGTTTGCATCCAGGCCAAGGACGCTACTGGGGGCTCCTGGCATCGCAACTAGGAACAAGAAGCTACTAGGGGCAAGTCGTGCTATGGGGTGGGGTGGCCGGACAGCGGGGGACTGGGGGACCTGTTTTTGGGAACCCAGCTTTACAGAAAACACTTTTGGGTAACTTCTAAGGCCTTGTGGGACGAAGTACTTGGCTTTCTGACCTCATAGCGTTTGTCAGGCTTGACTGCAGCTGACTGTGTCTTTGTGGATGATAAGGCTGGGCACGAAAACTGACCTGCTTGGTTTTGATGGCACCATGTGGTACTGCATTTTGGGAGACCTCACATCGGCCGGTTTAGATCACTGGAGGGTTGGTTGATAGGAAGTGATTCATTCAAGCGAAGCTTATCAAAGCATGGTACCCTGCACAATATCGTTCGATATAGAAGATTGTAGAAGGATTCTTTTGACAGTTGGCCCGAACCTTGACTCAGTTCCTCAATGAGCTGGTTCTTTTGGACAGATCTGACAGGCTGAAAACGTGGCAGCAGCCGCTGCTCTGGGCTTTGCCGTGGTTCACTACGATGCACGAAAGGCCCAGCCTGGAGAACTTGCCCAGGCGTCCAAAGCGGAGCAATGCGGATGTAATGCAGAGTGCTGATTTGTCGATGAACCAATCCACTAGCAATGGCCTCGAACCTAATAGCAATGGCCTCCAACCTAATAGCGATGGCCTCCAACCTAATAGCGATGGCCTCCAACCTAATGGCGATGGCCTTTAACCCAATAGGGATGGCCTGCAACCTAATAGCAATGGCCTCCAACCTTAGTAGGGATGGCCTCCAATCTGATCTGGTGGATTTACTGTTGGATTTGGGCCACTTTATGGATCTATTGGATGTTCACTAGATTTCGTGGAAATCCACCAAGATCTCCAATGGCCCCCGAGCTTGCTGGTGGACTTTCTTCCCAGCAGATCTTTTTTTACATTTTTTTTCGGAAAGAAGATGCTGAAGGTTTAAGGCCCTGACCAATCTGCAATTCAGTGTTGATCAGTTCTTTGCAGAAATAACACCGTCCCCCCCGGGGGGCCCTGCTCAATTAACTAATCTATTAATTGAGGTGGGGTAGGCAAATTAATTGACCCTTTGTAAGGGGTGCAGATGAATGAACACAATAACTTATAAGCAAATTAATCGAGTTGATATGCAAAATTAATCCTGACCGGTGGGTCGAACGGGTTACTTGATTGGGGTACCTTGAGTTAAATAGTTTCTTCTTATTTATCCTGCTTGAAATGTGCAACACAAAAAGCAGCCACAAATCAAGGACACGTTGACAACTGACCCACCATCATGAATATGAATGGTATTCCTTCTCTTTCCTCCTTGTATTCTGTTTGTTTGTTGGATCATGTTTGATTGTCTTCCTCATTTCTGTTTGAGCACGCAAATGCAGAAAATTAATTGTTAGGTGTGTCAGGTCTGGATAACTCTCTGTTTTGTTTAGGTGTTTTCAAGCACATCTCATCAAATCTCAACTTATCTGAATATCACAAAATTGCAACTTCTGATGTGAATTGGTGTTCACCTTCTCAAGTGCCACCCTCACCAGCAAATGTTGAGATGAGATTAATTCCAGAAATCTAATTCTGGACTCGGTAGGGGAGTTTGATTAATTCGAACGCTGGGTGGCTCTTTGCAGAACCATAGAAGATATCTATCCATCTCCTATGATGCTCAAGGAGATTTTGTTGGCCAGTCGTACCAGTCGTCGTTGCAGTCGCAAGGCACTCAAGGATGCAGGACTCGCTTTGACTTGACCGCAGCAAATGCCGTTTGGTGCTGTTTGCTGCCGGCCCAGCGAAGGTGTGATCTCAAGGCTGCCGTTTTTTCTTTTGTGCGTAGTGGCCACTGTGCGGCGCGTAGCGGTGTTGAAGGGATGAAGTGTTGAACTGTAGGATGGCAAGATAATCTTTGTACAGCGTAAACAGATGGAACACCTGGGAACACGCTGCACCTCGCGGGCAATTCATTCCCATCTGGCGGAGGTGGCTTCCATCTGTGGATTGTATGTGATGGCGAAGACGAAGATGGCCTGATCACAGAAGAGCTGCAACAAATGGATCAAGGACATACCGCACTTGCTCGCCCATGAGAGCTTGAAACAAGAAGTGCTCACCGCGCTAGCTGGTTGTTGGATAAATTTGGATCATCACTTTCACAAATGCTTGTTTAGTTTAGTACCGGTGAGACTGCGAGAATGCGATCATGGGATTTCGTCCCTTCATAGAGAGGGAGGCTTGCGCTGCTTCAACCAACAGAACAAGCCTGGTCGAAGTTCTTGCAACAGATAACAAGAAGCTACCAGTAACTAGAAGGTATTAGGTGGAGGCCATCGCTACTAGAAGACCAGCCTGAGACGACCTGCCTTGGCATAGCCTGCAGGTGCTCCATCGAGCGCCAGCAATGGGCAGGCGAAGCGGCGAAGCGGCTGTTTGCCTCCGTGGCGGAGCGCTGTCCTCGTTTTCGGGTCGAAGCGCGAGGCTTGCTTTTGACCTGGTGAACTGCCAAAAGCACACCTTTTTCTCACCTGTGAACATGGATGGATGTTGATTGGCGAACATGGATTTGGCATCACATTAGCTGTGGCATTTCGCTGCATCAAGAGCACTGAAACTATAGCTCACATTCTTTTGAGGTGTTCACACATTCTTTTGAACCTCAAGTTGCTAACACCTTGCCCTGACCGCTCGACCTTTGCAGCCTTATCTGCTTACTGAACTGGAAAACTGGCCCCCGAAACTCCTCCGGTGGCTTGGATGGACAGATGTTTTTCGTGAGGCGTCAGATGGTGAAGCACGCCATGACAATTCATGTCTGGCAACACAAGCAACAGAACAGGGAAACCAATTCCAAAGAAGAGCTTTTGGGATGACATGCTCAAAGTTTTACACGTTTTCCTGTTGTTTGGTTAAGTAGCTCTTGACTGGACTGCTCCCAGCCGAATGGGAAAAACACGAGCAAAACATCTCACCCGAGAATCTATGCATTTTTGGCATTTCTGCCAGATGGGGCCATGAAGCCTCATTAGAAAGTCTCAGCCATTGTTGCTGTGAAACCCAAGTGACACCTGGGTGTCACAGCATGTAAGACAGAGCCTGAGCAAACTGAATGCACCCAAAGGGCTCATCAAAGAGGAGCCATGGTCCGGGCTATGGTGATGTGGTTTCTTTTGCCACAGGCCTGATGTTACTTCTTTTTTGCACGAAGGTCACAGGAAGTACCGGGTTCATTCTGGGTTTTGTGTCTCACCAGCTTGTGAAATTCACTTGTGAAAGACTGTACACACTGCATGGTGACTCTAGTAGAAGGGACACAGCAAGAAGAATTCCCATTGTTGGTTCATCGGAAATGGACTCAAATAAGGAACGCATCAGTGTTTGTGGAGGTTGCTGGTGCCTGGAAAGAGCACGTGCTGGAGCTGCCGGATGGTGGCCAGGGTGCTCGAGGGCAGTTGAGGAGGGAACATCACTCGCTGACTGTTGGATTGGTAATCTTCCAAGGTTTACTATCCGGCACTCTTCTTTGGCTCAACATCTCTCAGGATAATTTGTCACCTGTTGTGACTCGCTGGCTTGAGCATCTGTTGGGTGGCAGCATCTCTTTGCCTCTTCGCTTCATCTCCCTTGACGAGGTCGCTTGGGCCTCTCGACCAGAGGACGCAGCCTGCGAGTGCGGTGGCCACCGGGTGGCGAAGACATTCGAGAGGCGAGTGGATCCGACCAGTGTCGGTGGCTCCGGGTGAGGAATCAGACCGATCCTGTGATGTTTTGATCCGTGACATCTCGTTAGTTGGGCCATGTTAAGCCCTTTGGTCGGTGAAAAAGCTTGCTTTCGTCTGTGGCCTGGCCATCCTGCTGGTTGTACGTATTTTACTCAGATTGTCCTATCAGGTCCTTCCGTTCTTCTTGCTACAGAATGCGACAGTTGGGGGAGCATGGCCTGACTTGTAGGACAGGATCTTCTATTTTACGTGCAGATGTAGGGAGCCTTTAGCTATATTTTTTTTTGAGCAAACTTGTGAATCTTTTATGCAAACAACACAAGGCATGGATTCAACTGATTTCATTGTACATATAGCTCAGACAGAAGAGACAGAAGACCATGCCCCTGCAAAAACCAGGTGGCCAAGCGACCTGCAGATAATGCATGATACTAATGCAGATAGCACACTCGAGTCTTCCTTTGTGACTTTGTTTGTTTGCTTGTGTGGGATTGGATTTGAGTTCGGTGAACTTTGCAGTTCCAGACGGTTCAAGGGCTGACCCCGACTGCGTGCGACAGGTTTCTCCAGCTGACCCCGATGCAGCATTTCATGTTGTCTCCTCAGCAGACGGGGAGGCAGGAGTTTGATTCTAGCTGTGAGACAAAGTGCAAGCCAACCCCCAAAATCGGAAGGAAGGATCACACACCCTTGAACATCAACCAATCTTCTTCAGCGGTCAAGTCTTTCCCCCCCAATATTGTGGCCGACAAGTAATCAATAGATGACAAGTACCGAAGAAGAAATTGCGCTGTTGCGCTTTTTTTTGAGCACGTTATATTTGTTCAAATCCCCTACCGTCAATAAATACCAGCAAAAAAAGAGGCTTCACCATGTGCCGAGACAAACTCTACTCATTTTCGCTCAGTGTCCAGTACCTGAGTTCATCACAAGGCTCTCATTTGGATTGCTTAGGAAAGAAGGAACACAAAGGGTGGACTTGGGTTCCTTTACACAGCCCCCTTTAAACTTAACTGGGGGGGGGGAAGTCCACCTTCTTTTGGTCCTTTCTTTTCTACAACACGTCTTGTCCGCAGGGCATCGCTGTACCGGAGCTGGGCTCGCTGGCGCTCTCCAAGCAAGGCACATCGACCGCAGAAGAACGCAGCTGAGTGACGTGTTGGGATCACGCGGTAGAGAAGTTATTCAAGACCTCTGGGGATCTTCAAGAGAACAGAGCCTGGAATCTCTCATGTTTTATCCTTGACTACCGGCGCTTTAGAGGAACAGTTTCGGAAGCAATTCACAAGGTCCATTTTGCAAGTATTGATTGGATTTGAGGGGCGGCAGGCAAGGAGGACACATGTTGTTTTGGATTAGGCCAGAGTTTGGTGCGGTGTTGGTGGAGCCTTGTTTGGCACATACGGGATGTGCCTATGGTCCTATGGTTGTGAAGACTGTCGTCAGACTTGTTTGGTCATGGTTACCGTCCTTATCGTTTTCCTCCTTTTCAATTTTGGCCCTTTCAAAGCACGTGAAACTGTAGCTACACCGTGCATGAGTCATACACCCTCCCAACAAACATGGCCCATGAGGAATGAGACGTGACTGAAGGTCCTTCACCACCTCTACAGCGGGCGAAGCTCGCTCTCCCAGCCCGGGCGAGGTCTTTTGCAGCTGCGCGACGCCCGCGGCGCGCTGCTCACACAGACAGAGCCGCTGGGGCGCTGCAGGGCGCTGAAAGGGCAGCGGCCGCAGGTGGGGTTGCATGTGGTGCTTGGTGGAGGTCTGTGGGTGGGGGTTGCAGCCGAAGGGTAGATGGACACACATGTGTATAAGTTCACCATCCATTTTTGGTCCCTGACCGAGTGGAAAGCTGATCTTGGGATGGCAGGAGCACTTGTGTATGTTGTGTTTCCTTCTGACATTGTAAAAGATGCGCTTTCTCATTTTGTTGTGATGGCCGAATCAGCTGGGGTGCGAGCTGGTATCCCCCCTTGGACATAGCATGGGTTTGTATGTGGACCCCGCCACCAAAAGGGTTTTGGTCTATTTTCCTCTTCCAGGGGGGGCTTTGGGGGGCCGGGCTTTCCCTATTCTAAATGCAAACACAAATTGCAGAAAGACATGGAATCCAATGCCCTGCCGGATTTCTGTTGGCCAGAGATCCTGGTTTTCACAGTTTTCAACCGAATGCCAGGGGCTTCCCCGTGGGACAATGGGAAGCTTTCCATGATTGGTTTTTGAAGGTGTTGTACCTGTGGCTTCATCAAGTCCCCCAACACCAAGCATGCGACACAGTAGTTGTTCTTCTGTAGCGATCAACGCCATGACGCAGGGTGGACACGTGCTCCGACAAGCGACCTTGGACGCTGGAGATTGGGTGATCTGGGTGACTAATACAGTTCGGTCTCAGTCAGACTGTTTGATCAATGCTTTTGTTGTCCACAGAAACGAACACAGATCCTGGTGGTTTACCAACCGCCCTGTGGGTGACGTGCCAAAAAGTTGCGGCTGAGCCATTTGTTGTGACCAGATTGAATGGGAGACGCAAGAAAGTGATTCTTCACTTCCAGCTCGAACACACAGCCCAAGCAGGGAGAATGCAAACCGAAGCAGCATGGATTCTGTTCTCTGGCACAATTTCCATTCAATAATTAATCATCTAATCCCATGTATTCAATGAGTTCACTGGACCACTTCAATTCACTGTGGCTCTGCCGGCGCACACTGGCAGGAGCCTGCTGCCAGGCTTGCCTCCAGGATGGAAACTGCACTGATTGGTCCACTAGCAGAGGGACTTGCTGCTCGGCCAGGAAGGTGTTGGGGCTTCAAACAGGGACTCTGCAGAATAGAACGACCCGGATCTGGGCAAATAGCTCTAGGTGCTGAGCTCTTGTTGAACCAAAAGACACTGGAGGGTTTGGAATCGATTCGGATCTTCTATGATGTGGTCCTCGTAAGAAAGGCTAAATAGTGGCGAGCGTAATGTACTCTGCAGAATGGCAATCGATCAAGTTTTTCTGCTCCCTGCTGGGCTTGGCATGACAAGTCGCATGGGCCATGGTGAGGTTCCTATCTCAGTCACGACCTTTTAAGCAGTGGTAAGCATAGAGAATTTGTCCAGTTGCAATCGGGTTTGTAATTGCACCATGCCAGATCGCTCCACACAGCGCTGTCTTTGGAAGCCTCAAGTGCCTTCCATGCGATGCCACAGATGAGACTCTGTGGGTTTGAGGGATCAAGGACACTTCAACATCCGGGCTCCCTCGTGAAATCTCGTGACACTCCCTGAGACGATGAAATCCGAGCGTCCATCGCTTCTGTTCTGTCCATCCGTTTCTGGTCCATCGCTCCGACGGGAGAGGTTCTCACTCTTTTTTTCCCCAAATAGTGCTCCACACTAAGGGGTTCTTACGGTAAGAGTTAAGCGGGTTTAGATCAGGGTTCGCGCGTGTGGCCCCGGCATGTTGCGTGGGCCGGCTCGCACAAAAGTTACTTTTTGAATTCCTCATGTCCATTTCGACTGCGCAGGCTCGCATAAAGTGGGGGTCGCGGTTTTCGCGCTTCCGGGACAAAGCTCTCGTGCAGGTGCCGTGCTCGTTTTCGGACCTGAAGTGAATTTCGCGTGGCAGGCGCAAGGAATTCGACACATTGGAGCCTCGAAAAGGTCATTTTACGTGGCAGGTGCAAAGGACTGCGTTTCACGTGGCAGGCGCAGGGAATCCGCACCATGGATGCGATATTTTGAGGTGAAACGGCTGAATTCGTGAGAGGGTTCGCATTTTTGGACTTTGACCTTGAGGATGATTTTGCGTGGCCAGTGCAGCATTTCGTATGACCTGCAGGCATGATTTCGTGGCAGGCACAGCATTTTCTCAAACGCATTTCAAAATTTGCGAGCCTCGTGCAATTTGCTCATTTTGGATCTCCGATGTGCAGAGTTCGTGGCAGGCGCACCCAAAGTGAATCTCGATGTGCAGATTTCGTGGCAGGCGCAGCACTTTGTGAA